AGCGAAATGTCTATAGCTAAACTTTTTAGTTAAACTTCTTGCATCGTTCATCTTTTCTTTTCTTTTCTCCAACACGAAGAGAAAAGGATGAATCGTATAAGTTCTAACTAAAAATAAGGCCTAATGATCTAATTAATAAAAATGTAGATGCAAAGAATAAGCCGATCTTATTGATTTTGATAGATTTTTAAATTGAATTTCGTAGTTCACATTAATATGATTATACATATCAATTGTACTATGGATTAAATTTATTTTTTTTTATATATAATATAATTAATTGTTATTTTTACTTTTTACAAAATATAATCAAAATTTGTTTGACATTCCGTATCTTTTATAGTATATCTTTGCCGTAAATTTTACATATCATATTTGAAACTGTATAATCGCGATATTAATTTAGTATTCCTCATTTCGTAGTTATTTATTAATGTATCATATTTCGTATGTAGTTATTATTCATTTGATCATATTTCATAACGTCACTATTAATTTTATTCATGATATATAATAAAATATAAACCTAAAATTTAGCATATGTTATTAATGAATATAACAAAAATAAATAATTAACGCGCATGTGACAGCGCGAGTACGGTGGCCTTTTAAAAATATATTAAAATTACGAAAAGAAATTAAAGTAATTTGCTAATTATTCATGATAAGTTGGTCGAATTTTAGCCTTAGCAAGTTCTATTCAGCGTAAGCTTGACATTATCATCAAAATGCACAACAGGAACTCAATGAAAATTCGAATTTCATACCAATCAAGGTCCGTATCTCAAGATAGAGATTAATATTTTTAATAGAAAATGCAATATTTGGAAAAAAAAAGAAATTATTTCAACTTATTAAGAGAGAAAAAAATGGCAGAGAAATGTCTCTCATCATTCGAAGAACTTTTACGAAAGCAAAATATTTGAAATATTATCTAAAGAATATCCGAAAAATTATTAATCACTTGTCATCACACATATCATTTATAAAAACATATCTTCAATCATTTAAATAGCTTGTCAGATGTGATGCTTCGAAAGATTGCGAGCGAGAAAACGGAAAATATAATCTCGCTTAGCAAACCAAGTAGAAAAAGAAATGACCGAAAGATATCTTTTCGTACGTGCCATTTCGTGTTATTCGTCGTGAATATAAATTTCAGAAAACTTTCTTTAATGAAAATGCTAAATAACTTGTAATCATACCGTGATTTTTTTTTCGTACTCAATAAGATGGTATTTTGTTCTGAGGAAACAGCTTTTAATAAGTGGAATATAAATGCGGGCGAAGATAGGATTTAGGCTAGAGGCACAAATCTGCAAACGTTACAATGTATTCGACACAGAAACAAATTGTACAAATACTACCACATTGCCAAATATACAAGAGCGACCCCATTCTCGATATTCGAGTATTGCTATTGTATCGTGGTGACAGGTCCTATACCTGACAGGATTTAAGAAAAGCTAACGCGCTATTCCTAATAACAACCTTACTAAATTTCACAAAAGATGGACCGGTCGTTTTAAAAATTCACAGAAAAGTATTACGAAATGTCCTGTTTTTGCTGTGGGAAAGGTAAAATATATTCATAATTTCTAATGGCTTTTAAGGAGAGGAATCCGATGCTAGGTGAAAATTACGTCACGTGACGAGAACGCATAAAAAAAAATCGAGTTTAGATTGGAATGAATCAGGATTAAATCAACATGCGTGGCATCGTGGTCATTTGCAAAACAAGTCGCTATGTTATATATCGATGGCAAAGTGTAACGCGTCATGTTTTGTCAAAAACATGACGTATCGCACTCTAAAAATATAGAATATCTATATATAAAAATATTATATTTAATAACGAAAATTACAACGAAAAGTTTATGTATGTAGAAATATAACTCGGACATGTTTAGTGCAGACTAAGGTTATTTAACTTCTTTTTCTCGGGTTTCCTCTTCTTTAGAACCTGAAAAATTTTCTGAAAATTCAGGATAATTATGTCAAAGATTTCAAGGAAATTGAAAAATATTGAATTATTACATTTTTTGATTATTTTAGCTTTTCTTTTTTTCTACAGAGAAACCATATCGCTCTCTTAAAAAAAAAAAATTATTAAAATTTTAAAAATTATTAAAAGTTATGTATGTATCTAGGAATGAAATGTCCGAAATTTGTAACCTGTGAGTTTTAAAAATTTTGATATAGCAACTCTGATGCAGGCGCACGTAAATTTTTCATTGTCCGATGTTTTCACTATTAAATATAACATTTTTATAAGACATTCTATATTTTTAATGTCAAAAAATGATATATCATACTATGTACCATTAATACATATAGCATAGTCTCGCGATATGACTTTGATGTCATATGTTTTCTCAATTGTTAACTCAATTTTTCATGTGTGTCTGTCATATAATGAGTATTTTTAATTAGCACTATTTTTCTTACCTCAAAAATTGAGAAATAATATTTGATACTTTCCTCGAGCACAATAAAAACAGGCTTTTTCATAACACTCTCCTTTAGACTTGGGTTTTTGTTAGCTCAATTGAATATCACACTTGCTCAATTGAATATTATTATCTTTTTTCATAACTCCTTGATATTCTGAATAAATTATATCAATAATTACCTAACAAGCAATTAAATATAAATAAATCTAATAATAGTAAACATCTTCTTGGCAAATTAGTCTAATAACTCAAGGACAAAATTAACATCTCCTTTACCACCTGCTTAAAATTAAACGAACGAAATATCGTTACTCATTTGTATCTCTAAAACAGAACAGAGTGGTTCCAGAGGTTGCTTCTACATACAATTTTTGCATAAAATTAGATTGATTGGAGGATTATATTCTGATGATTTCATATATGATATTACATAATCATA